AATATAATACTGTAATATCTGTCTCTTATACACATCTAGATGTGTATATATATACTCTATATATCTAGATAAACAAATAAATAAATAATAATAACAGTGCTCGAATAAGAACACGGTCGATACACTTGTTTTCATACGACTGAAATAAATATATTTTCGTTGATGATCTATGCTTGATACGATTATATGAGCTAAAATTATTGAGACTTACCGGTACTGATATAGAAAGATATTTCAATGAAAAAGTCAAAACATATTCGAGATTGAATCATTTTACATCCTTTAAAATGAGTTTAAATAATTATAAAATTATTTATTATTAAGTGGCATCTTAGATTTTGAAATAGAGAGGCAGATGGAATAAAGTGAACAAAAACAATAGAATATGTAAATTATGCTCAAACCAATGCATAGACGATGAATTTCATTTTACTCTAATATGTTTACGTTATAATGATATTAGGGAAAGCCAATTCCATCTTTCTTTAACTAAAAATCCAACACTTTTTAAGTTCCATAGTTTAATGTCATCAAATGATCGTAATGTTTTATATAATTTATCGAAATATCTGTATTTCACTTATGTAAGAAGACGTGATTTACTTTCTTCAGTTCTCTAAATGTTACTTTGTTAGGTAGAGGGGCCGGAGGCCTAAGATACAAATAAATGTCCTAGACCATAGGGGTCTAGGAACGAACGAACGATTATTACATTTGTTCCTATTCCAGCATTGGTATTATTTATCTATTTGTTTATATCGAGTCTACGGTGCTACGCAGCAAACTTGATTTATGTGTATATGCATATATATATATTTATATATATATATATATGTATATATATATATACACACTATGTGTAAATAAATAGATAAAATTTATCTGAATATTAAAAAAATAAATAAATAAAGCAATCGTTAGTCACGAACAAATCGTTTTCTAACAACGCGACTACGTGGTACACGAACTGCAGGTATAATCACGCCCTAATTAGATAATGTTCAAACAGTCACAAATGCCGACAAATATCAGTTCTGTATTTCAAAAGTTTAATAATGATAATAATAGTAACATATTTCGAGTGCAAATCAGTCGAACAGTACGGTACTCGCATTGAAATGCTGGAGGTCAAATATTATGTATGCCACAGCTTCAGCTAAACCCTGTCGTAGCTTCTAAACTAAATACTTTAAACTCTGTAAAAGTAACGTTTAGGACTAATGTTTTCCATCAAAAAACTTATCACTGTCTATTTTTAAAAACTTCGATGTGTTCTAGTTTATCGGTTTTCAAACATAAATCGAAGTATTACTTTGATAAACAAGTAAATCTTAATACCTAAACCAACTTTGTATTACATCAAAAAGTAGGCATAATGCAGTATTTAAACTGAAAAAAATCGATAACATGCTTAGTCAATTTTTATAAAATGATAACGTTAAACGTAATGAAATTTTCCGGAAAATACAAAAGTAATCAACTAGTACTTCTCGAATAAAAATATGTATTCATGGTGATAAAGTCCATGACTTGATAGTTTAAATTTTTATCACGTCAAACATGTATTTTGGCTGGCCAAAATATTTGGTCAAAAGCTTTCTTCCATTTAAATACAAACCAATTCGAAAGACATTCTCAAAATAATATGGCTGAAACTTATCAATCTTCCGAGTCCTTATTAAATTATACAAACCTACGGACAAGGCCTATAATCTATTCTTCCAATAGAAGGCTTCCGTGAAAATGGATATAAAATACAATAATCAAATTACCATCCATCACTTGAAATGCCGTTCAATTACGGAGTTTTAAAACCACTCCAGGTCAAAATCAACCTTTTTTTTTCCAATTGTTAAAGCTTAACCACGCAATTAAATACGGTACACATTCAAATGATATTTAATTCCAGAAGTTTTTTTTTTTTGATACAGGACCGCTTTTTGAAACAACCTGACCCAATATGATATAATACTTATATACAACGTAAACGAATATTGATTAATAACAAGTTATACAATTATAATATTAACAATAGTGTAGGTGTCTTCAATGTGTTTCTGAACATTTATTTAATTATGATAGGAAACTGATCAGCAAATACCACAAGTGGTTGTAGGCCTATAATAGTCTATGTTTTAAAGATTAATGAAACGAAATATCGATCTAGATCGCGCTAAAATTCACTACCGATATTATTTTTTTCCATAGAAATATCACTTAAATTATACATGTTTAATATTTGATGGAGCAACGTCACTGATTTACTAAGCAAAACATCAATTTCTAGTACTCGTTCTCTTTCGAACTGAGTAAACAAACTTTCAGTAAACAATGTTTCGGTAAAAAGTTTATATGGATTTTCCACAATACAACTCACATTTTAAAAATATCAGTCATAAAAATATCCTTACATACGACATTTGCTTCATACCCGTACATAATAATTAGTACGCAGGTTTAACATATTAGACGATGTCCAGACTGATTAGCACGTACCTCATAGCTGCTCAATGGTTTAATGAAGTGAAAATCCAGCACTCCACAGTGGGGGCAAAGTATAGTTTGCGAATATTGACTGAAGAAGAACGGACCGCGACTGAGTTCTATAACCGGTTTTCCGCATTGCTTGCATCCGACGCGTCCAGAGCAGCACGGCGAGGCGGCGAAAATATCGTACGAATATAAAGTTCCAAGTTGATGATGACTGCCGTCCCATGGCGTCTTGCATTGGCGACATAGTACACTATGTACGCCTTCTAAACATAGCATGCAAACTGCACCAAGGTACTGCAGTTTGCCGTTTAGATTCACCTGCAAGTTAGTATCACTATGCTTGACAGGGGTAAGGTAGCATGTACCATCTATCAAAGGGTACCGATCAAAGATAGGAAGATGACGAGCGCACATCGAACATGCCATGCTGGTAGCTTTATGCAGAACCATAGTGTTGAATATAAATTTCCGTATTTCTTCATTAGCTGCAAAGCCGTCTTCGTCCATCTTGATATGGTATGGGTTCAATTTGTGCCGTGGAAGGACTTCAAAAAATGTCGACAAGTCCATCCTGCGTAGAAACAAACAGTCGTTGAGATTGTCGACTGTCTTTGGCGATTGTTGTGGAGCGTTGTCGATGGGTTCCTTGTTCAAGGAGTTGGAGCGAGAAAAACTGAAACTTCTAGAATTTCTTTGACTTGTTTGGTTGTTTGCTGGTTGGGAGTTATTTGGTGACCAACTACGATCGGACGAATTCGATTCCAGTCGTATATGCCCGTTGCTGATACGAGGAGAAGGACCAGGCGAGTAAAGAAATTCGTCGGCACTTGTTGGTGGTGTGCTGCTAAAGCTATCTGTCGACGAGACGGAAGCTCCGGAGGTGTGACGAAGACGTCCGTTGTGTCCGGATGTTCCAGAATTGCCTGAATGATGACCGTTAGATTGGGCTGGGCCTATATGATTATGACTGCCGTTATTCGCCTGTCCGGCGATATTCTGTTGTAGACTCGTCGCTCGGCCTATAGTTGGTTTATCGTTTGATTTCTTTTTCTTAGTTTTCTTACGTTGTGTATCTACGTCCAACGGTTGCGGTGGTACCCAATCAAGGTCCTTCCGTAGATGGCCCTTTCCGCATTGGCATGAACATGCTTTCCATGCTAGGTCGTATCCCTTCTTTGTCCACAGGTTTTGGCGACGCTGCTTCTCCGACCAACTCCTAGCTCGTCCAGACGATCGTAGATATGTTAGTACACTTTCTTCCCACTCAGTAAAACATACTTTGTGCATAAATACTCCATAGGTACAATCTTTGTTGTTGCACACAACCTTCATAACAACATCCGGGTTTCGTATATGAACGGCTTCACCAACTATACATCCAGACGGTACACAACATGATTTGTAGTCGGGGTCTTCCTCTTCGGCATCATTATTATTTACCTCTCTAAATTGTTCAGCACGTTGCCGAGCCTTCTCTTCTTTGGTAAACGGCATGTGAATAATATGGAATCACAAAAAACAGTGTGAAATCTCGATAATAAAAATGTCTTTTCGGCCTATACAGTGTGTACGTCAATCGTAGGTTTGGTTGTGTCTAGCGTGTTTACAACTAAACTGAAAATGGTGTCCGGGAATACTACCCCGGATTCAGGCTGCTGTGCACTCATTGGTCGACGTGCAGGTGGAGCCTGCAGATTTTGCAGCTGATTGGCTACAGCTTATCAAGGCCACCGCTTTCTCTGGCTGCCCATATCGATGTAAACACAAGCATGTGTTCAATTTGGATTAGCAAAACAAAGCGTAAACATGCCACGAGAAACCCCTTATAACCTTTAGTAACCCCGTTTGTTATGTTTTTATTTTGCTAACCAATTAAAAAAATACATTTCTAGGGCTGAATATATAAATCACAAATAAATAAACAATAATAACAACAGTGCTCGATAGAGGACAAGTAAGTAAACATGTTATAATTTCATGTATATATTATCATTATTTTACGATCATAATATCATGTTCCTATTCGAGCGCTATATTATTATTATTATTAAATCTATTTGTCTAAAATGTGTAGGCCTATATGGTGCTACGCAGCAAACTTATACACATCTATGTGTTCTAGTTTATCGGTTTTCAAACATAAATCGAAGTATTACTTTGATAAACAAGTAAATCTTAATACCTAAACCAACTTTGTATTACATCAAAAAGTAGGCATAATGCAGTATTTAAACTGAAAAAAATCGATAACATGCTTAGTCAATTTTTATAAAATGATAACGTTAAACGTAATGAAATTTTCCGGAAAATACAAAAGTAATCAACTAGTACTTCTCGAATAAAAATATGTATTCATGGTGATAAAGTCCATGACTTGATATATATATATACATGTATATATATATACACAATGTATATATATATAATAAGGCCTATTACTATAAGGCCATAATTAGGTCTACTCCCACTCGACAATGACAAAAACATGTGACATGCCTAAATATGGTCATGATGACATCACATCATGACCATATATAGGCACATCATGACTATATATGGGCAAACAACAAAAGAAAATTTTATAATCTGGACAGAGCTTGAGGCCTACTCTATCAACCGACAAGGACATGCACTCCACCTGTTACATAACGATGTCCTTGGTTGCTGTTTATAACTCACCTTGAATGCAAGGCTTTGCAAGTTGATAATGATCTTCATCTTTTCAACAAATTCACAGTAATCAGGTCTGCAAAAGCACCTCTTTTTTCCAAGATTAGAATAATAAATATTATCTCTTTCGAATTTGAAATAATTTACCCAACATTTTAAAAGTTTCGCTGGCTTCGGGTTTCAGCTGGCCAGGGAACGATTCGTTCTGAAAGATGTGAGGGGAGGGGGTAAAGGTGTGGTTGATGTGGAAGAAATTTAATATGATGTCCTCTAATGTGTTTTTTAATCATCATCAATATCGTCGTCATCATCATCATCCATAATATTAATAGGCCAATTATACAATAATGATAATATTAATATAGGCCTAAATAATAATAATTATTATAATAAAATATTCAAAAAATGTAAATAATGATAAGAACAACCACCACTGCCAACGAAATCGTCATTATCAATCATTAACAATCGTCATCGTCTGATCATCATCATCACGAGTCAATCACCATCATGATTATTTTTCAGGAGCACCAAACTACCGTACTTATGCTCCGTTTGGAATCTAACAACATTGGTATTGATTGTGTTTTTGTTTTTCTGTCGCCCGTGTTTATTTTTTCCAGTAAACAATGAAACGTATACGGCGACATCAGTGGATATTCATTATTGCCACAGTGGCGAATGCGTTAGACAAAAGACGATTTTTCATGCTTCGATAACATCAGCATTTCATATAAAAATTATAAAGATGGATGCTTTGTTTGGTACACGGCGTGGAAGTAATCATTATATCGAACTCCGATGTAATAAAATCAAAGTTGCCTAATTGCGTAATGAGAGACGCGGTATGCAGCGACCAAAAGTAACTGGACGATCGGTCATCAACCCAATTAATAAGGTCAATCACCAATATAAAAACTTCAGAATAGTAGGCCTAAGATATAAAAGAAATAAGTTGCTGATGCGTTGTCCTTCATCATTCGCGTTTTTGGTACCATACTGATTCTAAATCCATTGCTCTCCTAATTTTTAGAGCGTGCAAAATATACTCTTTTCTGAGACCATCTTCCTCCCTCAAAGATTAGGCCTACATAAGAATATGATGACTTTTGTCATAAATTTAAAATCATCATTTAAAATTTAAATAAAATATAGTACACCGTTGAACCCACCCCTTACCCACTGGCGTTTGTTTTGTACTGTTGTGAAAATGATGGAAGACCCCATGTGTCCATTGGCTGATGATGGAGAATAAAAACTATTGACGGTGCCCAGTATTATTCATCATAAAACTGCACGTAGGCCTATTGCACTTCAGATGCGGAAAAACATGAAGCTGAGAATAAACTAAAATATGGCCTCCAGTTAGCGCAATTTCCATAGCGAATGTCAAGTAGTAGGGTACGTAAGTCACGAATCCTTTAGTCTCATAAATGGTCACGTTAGTTGCGGTAAAATTATCGATTGGAAATTGATTCCAGAACCATGGATATAGGGCCTACCTGTATTAAGGCCAGGCTCCAGAGTATGTGTTGTACAACAGTACAAAGAATACAATATTCTAAGACACTGAAGGAGTGTTTGGAGAAATTATGTAATCGGAAACTGCTAAGAAGATCCACATATTTGAATATTCAAAAACTAGTAAAGGTGGTATTAAAAAAGCACTTCATGAGAATTTTTTTTTTAAAGTAAAAATGTAAATGAAAATTAAAAATTAGAAAAAATATATCAATACTTATTGTTTCAATATTCTTTAAATATTCACATAGACCATTTGGTGAAGTAATCATTTTTAGTGTTTAGTTAATTGATAAAAGATATAAGGGCCTATCTTTAATAGGAATACAATGCAAATCGATAGGGGGCGCTCGAGCACCAAAACTACTAACTACAAACTACAACTCTCGAAAAACAACCAAAATGAATGGGCAAAACAATTCAATTCTATGACTTTTATTTTACAAATGAATATTAACTGCTCTAATTTTCAAATAGAGTATCAATATTTACTACCAATTTGATTGCTTATCTGTTGTATGTGGTAACAAAATAGCTTTAAATTGGGTTAAAATTTGTCAACAAATTCAATACTGGATAACACAGCATTCAAACAGCCGACCAAGTAATAAATCATAATTATATACATTAAACTTAATATAAGATGAAACAGAAATAATCCTACAACCCTTTCCAATTTTATTTTTGTAGTGATTTTCCATTTTTTATATAAACAAATAAATAATGAATTAAACAAAAGTATATTAAAATTGATACATTTCTATAACTGTGTTCCTTTTACAATAATGTATATTTTTACCTGTGCTTTGGATAGTAACAATTCATTAGATGTACCAGTAATATTTTGAATGGATTATATAATAGAATAAAAATAATTTATATAGGTACCAATTTATTAAACGAGTATTTGCACAACATATTAACACAGTTTTGTATCAAAAAATTATATTTTGGAAAAATGATACATTAACTATAACCTCATTTCTATAAAATTGCCACAGGCTATTGTCAGCAGCTTTCAGAGACACTGATTGGTCGGTTAAATAGGGGAGCTTTCAGGGACAGCTACCTAGTGTAATGGTTGCAACGAAAATTAGCTACACAGTGTAGAACCAGGCTTACAGTAAAAATTATCAACCTAACTGAGGTGCAGTCCATCCTAGGGGTAATCGAGTAATTAGTATACAGAAACCAGGTGCCTATATGCTTTTCTCACTAACAATTCCATGTTTAGTAATATTGTATTTAATAGACCAGACTCACATAAATTCAAATAAACTGTAGTGGTATTAGATAAATTTCATAAATATAATATATACAGATGAAACTACCTCAGGAAGAAATATGACTAGATCACACTTGATCCAGTTGAATAATTAGTAAAAGTTGATTTCATCTCAATTATATCATCCTCTTACCAATAATTATATACTTACTATACTTAAATATGATAAAATTAGCAATATTATATGTAAGTATGTACTTATGTACTAAGACATTAATTGGTATATAAGAATATAAAATACTTATTGTGTTATACTTACTTTCTACCTCCATGGATGGGACTTCATCAGCTGTAGTTGGTTTACATTGGTTCTCAAACTAAAAATTCTATGTTATGTTAATGTGTTTTGGTGTTCAAAACTTTGTTTTCTTTGTAGAACCATAAATATGTATTTATAACATAATTTCCAGCTAAGCATCATGGCATTGTGATAACATTATTTTTTTTAAAAAACCTAACCACAACATTCAAAACGGTCACAAATTTTAATAATAGCTGGATCTATACAAGAAATCTTAATGAATACAAATATAAAATCTCCATAAATAATTAATCTGATTATAATTCTCATTATTAATCTGATTACTATAAGACAACAAGTAACATACTGTGGTAGATTTCTTTTATCTCATTAATTGGAAGTACAGTAGCAGCCAATATCATTAATTAAACTAAAAGGCATTTGGTAAAACAAATCAAACTGTGGGTGATAATTATCATTTAATATTACACTAAATATTAAGAATTTAGTTACACAGACTAAGGATTACCAAATAGCATGCACATACTTCACTGTTTTATTATGGGCTAGGTATTTTTAGGCTCATTGTAATTTTGTTGGGTTGTTCGTCCATTTCTTCAGAGTGCCTCATGAGACCTGCTCGCAGTGCGTGCTCTTAAGTCTAAATATTATTCCATATGTGCAACATTAGTAAACAATGACATTAGGAGTGCTGATCTGCCTCTACTTCAGCCTGCAGCATTTGGTTGATCTCATCTTCCCATTCATCGTTCACTTCGCCTTCAGCCTCATCAACAACCTCAAAATCCTAGAAATTGAAACAAACACAAGGCTTAAGTATGACATCACATGGGCAGATCAGGTGGGTGAATAGGGTGGCAAGCTTATTAATGTTGTGATGTAAAGCAAAATTCTTATCTTACTCAAATCATATTTTACCCATATGCGGTATCGTTGAGTTTTGAACATGTCAACAAAATTTGTAGTCAAACGTGTTGCAGCGCAGCTTATTGTAAGAAAAATCGTAATGTGTGAGACCAGCTTTAGACACATATGGTTGTTGCAGTTTTGAGTGGCCTCAGAAGGGGTAACTTCTCCCCGACATTCATGGGCTTGTCAAACAAGTATGACATCACATGGGCAGATCCAGTGGGTGAATAGTGTGGCAAGCACATTAATATTGTGATGTAAAGCAAAATTCTCAGTGGCAGATTTAGAGAGGGGGGGGGGGGGCGTAAGGGGCATTCGACACCCCTATCTTTTTGTAAGGAGTAATTTTTGTAAAGCTTATCAGAAAATTACCATGCTAAATATTAAAAATCAATCAAATACAAACTTAAATTAATTATGGTGCTAGAGGTTTAAGGGGGATTTTCCCCTTGCACCCCTACCAGAGCTCTTTCCTGAGACTTTTACTCAGTTTGCACATTCACGCCCCTCTTTCTTACCGGGCTGGATCCACCCCTGATTCTTATCTTACTCATTTTTTACCCATATGCTGTCTGTGACAGGAGGATTCTCCCCTTTTACATCCAAGAGGCTGTAAATGGCCCATCGGTTATGTTCCCCACGCCTAGATTACTCGCCCAATGTTGGCCGATATATGAACCCATCATTGGATCTTCATAAAAAAAGATAAAAAAATGGGCCTCATTTGCAGCTTTTACAAAACCATTTATTCAATAAAATATATCTTTTTATTGGGCAATATACATTTCATATCTTCTTGAACTCAACACAGGGATCATCTAAAATACTCCCAATTCTTATTAATTTTATTCTTATTAATCTATAAACAAAATCACACAGTTGCTATTTGATCAGGATTTTCAAATATGGTCATACAAATATTTCACTATATGCTATATAATGGGAGAGCAAACACATTATCATAGTTATGAATTTAATGAGCTGCAGTTTCTCTTTTATTTAAGTTTAGATTATTTATACAATGATGATGTAGGCTATAACACACATATTAAAGATTATAGAATGGGCAGATTTGATCCAAACAACAAATAACACCACCACAACAATTTTTTTGCCCCCGATATGTTCATATTTTATATTATTTATTAATATTTATATATTAATTTTTTATATTTTAATTACACTGAAAATACAAATGTACTTCATGTTAGGCCAATTAAAAAAAATTCTTGTGTTGGTGTGGTTTTTGGAAAATCCAAAAAATGGGCAGGTCTGTAGGAAAAGCAATTTTTTTTTTTTATATACTGTATTTTAAATTTTTACCAATAATGTGTTTATGCCTAAAAAGTTGAAAATACACTAAAATACAACAAAGACCATTTTTAAATCTGTATTGAAGAGCAAAACAATCACATAACACTGTTGCATCGCCTACCGTTGCAAGAATAAGCCTATTCAGCCTTTTTATCTCCTTTTTAAAAAAAAAATAAATAAATAAAATGCCGACTCAATTTCGAATATTTTGGGTCGGTCGGGCGTGGCAAACACAATAATTTTTTTTATTTGGCCTTATTACCAGGTAGTATATTCAGGTAAATATATTGGGTCCTTAGAAATTCACAAGTTTCTCAAGGGACCTATTAACTCACAGGACCCACTGGTCTTCCATGATTCCCAGTGTATCTGGATATTTTCTGGCTAGAGAGTCATGTAAGTGCAACAGATCAACAACTAAAGGTTAAATGAGCATGCTCATATATATAACAAACACTCTCAACTCAATACATGGATTATACCGATCTTCATTTAATTCTCCTTGGTGTTATTAAAAGAAAAATAGGAATAAAATATACTTGTACAGCAGCAAACAGGCTATCAGAAACTGGTGGTGGTGGTATTATTGTTATTGTGAAGAGGTATTGGTTGATTACTTCTCAACAATTGTTTAATATCATTTATTATTATTATTATTATTTATTATTATTATTATTATGTTACTAAAACATACCTTAAGGGGAACTTAGACAATGGAGAAATTAGAGAACAATTAAAAAAACAACGTTTAAGCGGAAAATAACATGACATTAAGGGAAAAAATAACAAAAGATATTCCCCTAAGTCCGACTTAGCACATATTACTATTATTATTATTATTATTAATTATTATTATCGTTATTGGTATTATTATTATTTGTATTATTAATTATTATTATTATTATTATCATTAATATTATTTGTATAATATTTATTATTTATAATTATAATTATTTGTATTATTATTATTATTATTATTATTATTATTTATTATTAATATTATCATTATTATTGCTGTTCTTTGTTTTTTTTTTCATATATTTTTCCTATCTTTTTGCATTGTTTTTTTCTGGCCGTCCCACTTTGGTCACTTCCCATGACTTAGAATTTTTCTGTGCTTTGCTGAAGCATAGGCCATATATCAAGGATGTGCCTCCTAATATTTAAGGTCCGAACAGTCTATATTTTAAAAAACCAGTCAGTTGATGTGAATGAAACTTACGGGAATGTTTAATCAAGCTACAAGGAAGAAATTTTTATGTGTTAGTGACAATTCAGTGAAGGGTGTAAACTTGAGGGTCTTTTCAATTTTTGAGGACCCAGACCTAAATATCTCTTTAAAAAAAAAAACCAATGGGTCTAAATGATACATTCTATAATACTTTGTAAAGGTCTTTTAAAATAATGATTAAATTTTTGTGACGATCCGCAGTATGGTGTGGATCTGAGGACCATTTAAAAGAAAACGTCCCACACCACATATTTCGAAAACGGATCAGTTGATCTAAATGAAACATTCTGAAAAAGTTTAACCAAGTTACAAGGAAGATAGTATTATATGCTGGCGACGAATCAGTCAAGGGTGTAAATGTGAGGGTCACTTCAATTTTTGAGGACTCAGACCTAATATCTCTTTAAAAAAAATCAATGGGTATAATTTAAATCTTGTATTAAAGTCTGTCAAGTTCAAGTGAAGAAATGATTAAATATTTGTGACGATCAGGAGTAGGGTGTAAATCTGAGGACCATTATAAGGAAAACGTCCAAGACCACATATTTTGAAAACGGATCAACTGATCTGCAAGGTCCAGTAAAGAAATGACTGAATTTTTGTGAAGATCTGGCGTAAGGTGTAAATATGAGAACCATTTAAAGGAAAATGTCCCAGATAAGATATTTCAAAAACAGGTAAACTGATCCAAATGAAACATTCAGGAATGTTTAATCCAGGTTACAAGGAAGATATTATTATGTGTATGGGACGATCCAGGTTAGGGTGTAAATTTGAGAGTCATTTAAATTGCTTACATCCCAGTTACAGATGAATAAAAAATGACACTTTGCAGAATAGTTTTTCATGGTGAAATGAAGAAATGATCCAATTTTGTTGATGATCCGCATTAGGGTGTGGATATAGGGATGATTTGAAGATTTTTTGTTGACAGTTGATTAAATTATTTAAACGCAATTTGCGTTTTCTAAAGCACTTAAACCAGTTACAACTAGGTTAAACTCAAAACTACCGTGATATGCATGAACAATTTTTGCTTTCAGTCATTGAATCGTATGAACTGAAAATGCACTTTCCTATGCAGGTATGGCTCATATGGTGCATAATAGTTTGAGTCACGATGTACCTCACTATTACCATTGCAGCCATAGTTTAAGTCTCACTAATAATGTCAAAGTGAACTTGGTTTTTTTTTTTTTTTTTTTTTCCACTTCATTTTTTCCACTTCATTAAAATTATATTGGTTTTCCATGTTTTTTTTACTTCATATCTTTTAACGACTTTTCTTTTTGTTGCAATTTCAACTTCATTTCTCATAAAGAAAAGGGAAAAAGCCCTATGTCCTGTTTGTTCAAACAGACATAGTAAGTCTAGTTATTATTATTATTACTATTATTATTATTATTATTATTATTATTATTATTATTATTATTATTACTATTATTATTATTATTATTATTATTATTATTATTATTATTATTATTATTATTATGAATGTACTCACTTGTAGCTCCTGTTGCAATTCTTTCTCCCATTCAGGTACATCTTCAGCCGCACCTAATAAAATAAAACAAAGAACGTAAACATATCAAGAAACACAAACACAGATAAGGAAATATTTTTGTTAGAAACTGATTTAATAATTATAACAGCAACAATAAGATAATAACTGCATGATAACAATAATAATAACAATAATAATAATAATAATAATAATAATAATAATAATAATAATGATAATATCAATAATAATAGATTCCACTATATAGCACCTAATACTTAACATGTTTTCTTCTAATCTGTGGCAGCGCAAGATACATTGCATTAAAAAATACTGTCTGCCCACATCCCTTTTCAAAAAAGGTTTAGTGTGATCATTAATTCTTTATGGGCCATAACTTACATTAAAATTATTAACTGCTTATAATAACAATAATATATAGGCTTCAAAATGTCGGATTTTAGAAACTCATTGCTATTTTGAGATACAGTAAGATTAAGCTTTGCTTGTACTTGTACTTGTAATGTCTTTTTACTGGCCATTAAGAAAACCAGTTTCTAGGAATAGTTATTCAAAGAACAGTTGTCTATGGCAGTAAAAAACAGGGACCAAAAAAACCCCCCAGATTATTAAAGACCCGTTCTTCATGGAGGCCAAGAATGATTTCTCATGGTGCAGTTTTTAATCCTTATCTTTATAATTTGATTACAAACCAGTGTTAAGAGAACCATCTCTATCTTCAATTGCAATCCACTTTTTCTTTCCCAAGCTCAATGTTACATTTTTTTTGCCAATTTCAGTCTCAAAATGTTCTTGTTTTGTTCTTATTTTACTAATTTTTAAAGTCACACCTACTGCATTATGGCGTAGATATAATGTCATACCTTATTTAAACATTACAGTATAATACTTTACTATATTTAACTACCTTGAAATTGTTGCTTTTTCTAGTATTTATATTAAAAATGTCATTTGACACTATTTTACCTCAGTCTCAATTTTTTCTTATTTTGGTCGTATTTTTTGAGTAATTTCAGACTCTGTGTTTTTATATTATATAAAAAAAAGTGCACAAACACACACACACACACCATTATTTTGGAGGTTTAAACTGATTTGATGGTCTCTTTTCAGTTATGTGATTCTAATCAATAATTATTCAGGGATATGTGTCAGAATTATGTACTTGTCAGAACATAATTACTCCTATAAATCACTGTTAATTACTCTCAAACAAATAACTCCTACACTAAAATGAATTATTATTGTACAGACTACAGGTTTCTTGATAAAAATTCTTGCAAAGATGCCTAAAAAGCAAATTTCCAAACTAGAAAATCTCTGATCACCTACAGCACAGGTGGGCAAAGTGCGGCCCGCGGGCCAGATGCGGCCCGACAACAATTTTTTTGCGGCCTGCGATAATGAATTAAAAACCTTAAGTGTGCGGCACGCCAAGCAACATTGGCTAGAAAACACCTTGTTTTTACTGCCTGACGCTGATTATATGTAACAGGTGACATAAAACTTAGAATAAAGTGGTGCTTTGAGGTTTTTGGAAGCTCAATGGAAACATTAAAGTTTGGGTGCGGCCCTCTGTGTTAAATCAAAAATTCACTTTGGCCCTCCGACCGATTTTTATGCCCACCCCTGACCTACAGTATCATCAACATTTTTCATCATCATCAATCTTCATTTCCATTGATTTGAATACAAAAAAATGTATTTATTAAAATAGAAAACATATGATGATTCCAAGCAAACTATAAATAAAGACATTAGAAATATCATTAACCTAGTTCTTCAGGTATAAGCCCAATGTTACATTAACAGTGTTTCCTCAGGTGAAAGACCAGAGTAGAATTTTAATGAGTACTTAGCTAAGCTGTATAATACATTTAAAAAAAGGTTTTGGCTTTCAAATAGACATGTAATGGAAAATTGCATTTTAAATAGTCATCCATACAAATGGTTGGAAAAAAAAAATATCAGTCTTTATATTAAAAAAAAGGGATTCGGCCAGCATTTGTGATTGAGTGGAGGTCGGCTTATACTATTTAGCTGTAATCATAATCTGATGATTATATAATTTAACAAAACATTATTTAAACTATTGGTATTTAATTTGATATTTTACTTAAAAAGATTTATACTATACTTTAGTTTGCTAAAAATAACCTTTGGAAGACCAAATGAAGGTGTATAATATACAATTATGAATAGAGCAAAAAAAAGAAAATATTGGTACAATTATTGTATTACTGCATTATTTATAGCGTACAGTTTTTCCCCCTACCACTATTGATATATGATTTATGCACAACACAATTATAATAACAACACAGTTGCATCAACAATACAGCAGAGCATCAATATTCATTGTTGATCCAAAGCAGATTTCATTAGCTGGTGGCTTGAAAACACTTGGCACACATCCAAGCTCGGCTTCCTAACAAACTATGACGAGCAGCCACAAATAGAATTGTGTGCTATATATTAAATATATACATAAATAAAAAGATGCGAAGATTACAAAACGGTACAATAAGAACAGAATTTCAAGGCATTGACACGCATGAATTAGTCAACTAAAGTGACATTTAGTAGGAGAATCTTTGACATGATGTAAAGCAGCAACTGAACGGAAGAGGAAGAACTAATTCTTCAGCAACAACAAAGAGGAAAAAAATAGGTTAGAATTAAATAGGTCAAGTAAAAAAAAAAAATAGGTTTCTCCAGGGTGACAAAGCAAAACATTGCCAAAGAAAAAAACAATGTGCAGTTCTTTTTGTCCATTTTATAGGTGGGAAAAGTAAAATTCACCTAGATTTTATTTTAAAAGTGAATGTGTATATCAAGTTACAAAATGCAAACAAATATAAATTTTTAAATTTATGGTAAAATTATCAAGTGTTAACTATAGAAATATTGATATCTGAAAGGCATATTTAGGAAGGAATGGTTAAAATGACCAATGCTGAAATAGGTTTCTTAGCTTAAACTTTAATTTATATTATCAGATATGCCTAAAATACATATAATTAATGAGAGCTTGTTATTTAATTGTTGGACTGAATACACACCAAGATGAAATAAATTAGCTAAAATAAATTTTGGCTAAGGAAAAAATGTTAAATGTTTCTGTTTATCACTTTGCCATTATGGGGACGATTTGATTTTTCACTGGTAGTATAAAATTATCTTAAAAATATATATCAACAGAAAAAACACATGGCACTGCAATTAAACATTTTAAGAGGTCGTTCAACACTACCAACATTTTCACAAGCGTACAAACAGTATGCTGGGGGGGGGGGCTGGGGTGGACCAATTTGTACACTTTTACATATTATGCATAAAAATGTTGATTCAAAATAACATGCAATGTGTAAAATAATGGTAAAATTATAATGTAACCATGGATATAACTTTCATTTTAACTTTCATTTTTAAGCAACCAAGTACATTGCGATAGTTGACTTCACAAAAAATGGAGAATAGTTATGCAAATCAACATTTTTTGTACACTTTCAGGGAGAGGGGATACCCAAAAAGAGTACAGTTTGTACACTTGTGAAAATTTTGATAATTGTGAATGACCCCTAAACGGCTGGGGTTATTGAGTCGGGCTCAAATAAAGCCATGCCTTTGCTGCTGGCATTGAATAAATTATCATAAGCCACTATCACTACTACTTTACTGTATGGGTTATTATTCATGGTGAAATTAACATGTGGTTCCACTATGGTATCCAGGGACTTGTAAACAAAGCAATGTACATATTAAATAATACACAAGGGCAATGTCTGCAGGTAAAAAAACCTACACTTGGCACGGTTCCAAGGTGAGGTTGTTCTGGCGATAATCACCTATAATGAGTATTTCCATAGGACTCTACTTGCAGAGTTGAAATGTATAAAATAAAATGTATAAAATAAAAATTGATGCTGTAGGTTACAGATGCAGGATAAAAAAATGCAGTTAATTTTAGAGTTGTTTAATCTCTGTGGCATGGCCCCATAATACTGTATATCATTTTCAAAGAAGGAAGGCAACACATCAGTAAGTTCATATGCACTACCTCAAGCCGTGCTATTCCAAAGGAAACTGGAAACGTACATAGCACTTCCCTAGTTAAACAATAGCTACATGACATGATTGGAGGAAATGGATATTATATATGGTACTTGGTAAGCTCCAGATTTTGGTACTTGGTAGGTTCAACCAATACCAGGGGCGGATCTAGCATTTTAGAAGAGGGGGGTTCAAAATGTTTCCAAAAAACCTCAAAATGGAACAAGGGCCCGGAGGTCCTCGTCCGGGAAAATTTTGATTCCTAGATGGTGGGAAAAGAGCTTTCCCGACTGCTGAGAAGTGTTTTAATGACCTTTTTATGTTCTTCAAAATTCAAGGTTTTCCCCTCTTGGGTAATTTTATCTCATTCTTTAGGCCTATACATGTAGTGGCAGTTTGGCAAAGCGGTTGAGATTTAGGCTTTCAATTGTAAGGTCGGGGTTTTGAGTCTCCGCTGTGCAGATTCGCTTGTGTCCTTGGGCAAGGCACGTTAGCTACATTGCTTCAGTCAACCCAGCTGTATCAATGGGTATTAGCAAAGTGCTGGGGACTAACCTGTGATGGACTAGTGTCCCGTTCAGGGGAAGTACAATTCTCATCCGCTTCACACTACAGAAACTGGGGATAAGCTCCAGCCTTATGAGCCCCAGTGGCTCGGAAAGGATTTAGTTTTTAATTTAGTTAGGCCTATACATAGAGAAAAAAAATCAAAGACGTAGGCAATATTATTATAGTCCAACAATACTGAGTAGTTGGATACGTAGCTTTCTTCTATGGATCGATGAAATGATAGACCTGAAGAATTTACTTTCGTACATAAATTATTACGCCGTCGAACCAAAAACAGTGTGTATAATTTTATTCAACTGAAGGCTAGTTGGGCTAAGCCTAGTTTGTCTGATCTGCCAACCTATGCCTAGTAGGTCAGCATGCCTTTTGTAAGCCAGGACCCAGAAGTATTTGTTTACGTTTCTTCACAGAG